ACGAGTGGGAGTATAAAAAGTACTTTAGAAAATCGGGCCTTGTTCAGCTACGGTGGGGGAGGGGCGGGCAGGGTGTGAGGAGGGCGTCTTGCGCTCGAGTTACTTCCTTCTGTTAGTTCATGTCAACTGACAGGTCTCACTTGGGTGAACCTGTAAACTCTCGCGCAGCTGCGGAACGGTATGGTTACAGAAATTCACAGGCCTTCACAAAGTGACGTGTGTAGGTCTTGCTGGGTACCATGTGGTGCCCTCACCAAGCCGAACAGTGCCGAAAGGGGTGTAATAAAAAAACTGGAATCAAATGCTATATTTTCGAGCATAGTGAAAAGCCCTGTGGTGCACTGTTCACCCCTGTCGAAGCTTGGGCGCTCAGCAACACCTGAGGATAACTTCAAACTAGTTTGTGAAGTAATCAGGCGTAAGCGTACCAATTACTGGTTATCCATCACAAAGTAGGTCAAGCGCCAGTCACGGTTCACTGCCCACTTAGAGCGCTTAAGCGCTATTCGCATCCGGTCACTGGCTCTTTCCTGGGGACTGATACAGAGCCAAAAAAATTACGGACCAGCCGCAAAAAGCGCTGCCGTGGGCAGCCAAATACAAGGTGCTGGTCATTCGTTGCGTTACCCCATGCCTTTCTGCGGGATTACTTCTTTCCAGTCATCACGACAAAGCATTCAATCCTGTATGTCACCGGCGATGTCTGTCGCGTATGCGAATACGGAAGTAATTACGGAACGCACCATAAACGGCACACTCGTGAAATTGCTAGCAAAAGATATTGATTGATTTATTCTGTCTTGTATTTCGCCCGAAGAACTTATTAATCAGTAGTAGTCCCGTATGTCACCGGCGATGTTTGTCGCCAGTAGCAATATGAAAAGTAATCACGATACCAGCCGGACTTCTTCAAGCCCTTCGAAGAGGAAATCTAATTTACTAGAAAGAGCTGCATCTTGTGTGTATGTCATCGGCGATGTCGGCGATATTTTTACATCGTGAAATGAGAATTTCAGGTCCGACAGTGCCTGCGAAAGGTGGTCTCCGGAGATACCGTTAAGGAATGGCGTATGCGACATTTTACGAGGAGCGCCAACCTCCAGGCTTGCTTTATCTAGCAAATGCTCTTGTAACGTGGCTATGCAGCCATCCAGGTAATTTTTGTGTATGTCACCGGTGATGTTCGTTGATACGTAGTCACTCTCTTATGTAAATGTTAACCAACTTTCAGACAGAGTGTGGTGAAGAGACATCAGAATGGGTACTTAAATACGTTACGAAATTCGCAACTGCCATTGATCCTCGCTGTAAATTGGCCAGCCAGTTGCCAAGTAAGTATAGAAGTTGTGGCTGATCCATAGTTTTGGCCCAAATGCACCCTCATGCCGTATCCGTTCCAGTTGGCAAAGTGATCGGTGTCGGATGTTCTGGCGATGAAGAGGCAATTATCGAGCACTGTGCCGCTCCACTGAATGACATCGGCAGCCGGCTTGAGGAGCTTTTCCAGGGTGGTTTACAGGCGATGATCAAGAATGTGAACAGCTTGGCGCCAGTCTTTGCGGGAGGCTGTAATCTCACAGGTAAGTCTCATGAGGTTTTAAAGATGCAGTCCGCGATACTCGGAGGGGGAGCAATGGGCGGGGACCCGCATCCACTGTGCTTTTCTCATTGGTACACCCTTCTCTTTGCTGCATTTGAGAAAAGTTAGCAGCTGTGAAGAATACATGATGCTTGTGAGTCTCCGCCCTTCCTTCGCCAATCAGTATCATGGAATGTGTCTTTAAGATTTCTTTGATAACTTTCTCCACAATCGAAGCATTTTCCATTCACTTACAAATGAGTCGTATGTAGGTAAACTAAAGAAAATGTCCCGAAAGTCGCATGGTTTGACTCCAGTGGGCGGAGCTAAAGTCTGTTTCGAAGAGGCACAGGCAGCGTCGCATCAAGTTTTGAAAAAGCTCTCATGTTGTATGCTTTCTCGCCCTGTCGAAGCAAGACTTCCCTGTTCCAATGTGGACTTAAAGGCACAGTCCTCGCTGATCATGTGGGCGGGATCAGCCTTACCTCAGCTTGCCTTGTGCCTTCCTCATTGGAACGTCCCCTTCTCACGGTATGGGGAAAGAGAGGCGCCCTAGTGGGGCGCAAACATTTGAGGCCCGCCTCTGTCTACACGATGAGTGTGGACTGTGCCTTGAAGTGTAGATTGAATGTCATCTTCGTTCTCACTAATATTTGAATGTTTTATTGTTTTACTGGTGTCGATGTTGTCAGTTATGGTCTAGACGGGACCCATGGACGCTATAGAAAATGGTCTCAATACTTAGAAAACCGGT